TTGGTGAAGTTGAATTAAAAAGAATAAAAACTTGTAATTCAAACGGATAATTTATTTTTAAAAGAGATATATTTTGAAAAGCTTTTGCAATCCTTGATCACTCTTGAGAAATAAATGAAACAGTCACTAAGCTACATTGTATATATTATAAATTCAATTTTTTTTTCTACTCTGGTTTGGAAATGACATTTCTTTCTTTCTTTATGCAATTCCCACGCTTTCAGCTTACGTATGTCCCGCGAACTCCGTTCGATCAAATTTTTTTTTTTTTTGTTAATTTCGGCTAAGATAAGTTCTCCTTTTGTTTTTATTCTTATATATATATATATATATATAAAGAAATAGACAAGGTCCGACAATTTATTTATTAAAGACATTTTTTATGTTTAACGTTGTTATTTATAGATACAAGTATTTAAGCAAATGCTCTGTTTATGATAAACAGTATTAAATAACATTTACCGGCCTGAATGTCCGAGAAATTTTCATAGAAAATATTCGTTCTTTGACAGGATTCGAACCTGCATCCTATACGGAACCGTCATTTACGCTGACGTGCCTTACCTCTGGGCCACAAAGAACCGTAGACAAGGTCGAATTTACTGCTTATAAAACTTCAATCTTCCATGAATCTCGTACATTAAATAACATTTACCGGCCTGAATGTCCGATAAATTTTCATAGAAAATATTCGTTCTTTGACAGGATTCGAACCTGAATATGGAACCGTCATTTACGCTGACGTGCCTTACCTCTGGGCCACAAAGAACCTTTTCGGTAGACAAGGTCGAATTTACTGTAGAGGTAAGGCACGTCAGCGTAAAATGACGGTTCCGTATAGGATGCAGGTTCGAATCCTGTCAAAGAACGAATATTTTCTATGAAAATTTCTCGGACATTCAGGCCGGTAAATGTTATTTAATACTGTTTATCATAAACAGAGCATTTGCTTAAATACTTGTATCTATAAATAACAACGTTAAACATAAAAATTGTTTTAATAAATATATATATATATATATATATATATATATATATATATATATATATATATATATATAATAGTTAATAGAACGGATAATACAAGTTGAAGAATAAAAAAAAGCCAACAAAATGATAATAATATTAGTAATATGACGTTTGATGATATTTGTCATCAATTTTTGACTAAATTATAGCACGTAGAGAAAGATTTTAAAATCGGAATATCCGGACACACCTGTGTCCTTTTTCAACGGAACACGGAAGAAGTAGGACTCTCTCTTCGAAGGAATGTTGGTGTTGTTGGTTAAAGGACACACACACACACACACGCACACACACACACACGCACATTACTCATTTAGGAAGACAGTAAGACAGTATGTCTGATACAAAACGATTATAACGTGTTAATTTCCAGCTGAATAACTCAAAAAGTTTGTTGGTGATTCTTACGCCAAATGGTATCAAGATGGCTAAACGTTTTATCAGTTAGTTTAGTGTTTTTTTTTTAGATATTAAACATTTTCTGGGATGGACAATTATGCTGTAACATGATTAGGACAATTTTAGGACACCAATGGAATACGCGAAGGTTGTCCGCTACCATGTGTGTGGCATGGCGGGTCATAGGCGCGAAGGTTAGAAATGGTAAAACTAAGGAATGCAGTTCGTCTCTAAAAATGGAAATAGTGATAGAGCAGAGAGAGGCTTGTAGTGTTTCCTCTGTGAGAAAAGGGTTGGCAGGATGGGAAATAATTCGTCACTCACGAGGACGCAGAGACGTTTTTCGACTCTATCGAAACTGGAAAGTGTTTTTTTTTTACATTATTTACATTATTCGGACAGTTATCCTCATCTTCATTGCCATATTCACAACGTTACGGCCGTTGTACTCTCCGGCCTTCTTCAGGTGATTGGGTCTCTGAGATGATGTATTATGATTATTTGCATTATCTACATTATTCGGAGACTGTTATCCTCATCTTCATTGACATATTCACAACGTTACGGCCGTTGTACTCTCCGGCCTTCTTCAGGTGATTTGATCTCTGAGATTAGGTATTATGATTACTTACATTATTTACATTATTCGGACTGTTGTCATCATCTTCATTGCCATATTCCCAACGTTACGGCCGTTGTACTCTCCGGCCTTCTTCAGGTGATTGAATCTCTGAGATGAGGTACTAAGATTACTTACATTATTTACATTATTCGGACGGTTATTCTCATCTTCATTGCCATATTCACAACGTTTCGACCATTGTACGCCCCGGCCTTCCTCAGGTGATTGGAATTTCGAGCTGAACCCTTTTATTTCGTCCACCCGCACATGGAACTAGAACAATCTACATCTGTGGACGAAATAAAGGGTTCGATTCGAAATTCCAATCACTTGAGGAAGGCCGGAGAGTGCAACGGCCGCAACGTTGTGTATATGGCGATGAAAATGAGGATAACAGTTCGAATAATGTAAATAATGTAAATAATCATAATACCTCATCTCAGGGATATAGACAGATATGGAAAATGTTGATTAAACAGCTCCTGTCCATATATGGCAGCAGTACTCCATTTTAGACCTGAACTGGTTCTTGCAAAGGTAAAAGATAGCAGGAGGTATTTACTAGAGCGGTACAAGGAACGACCATTTTTCCAGTATTTTTAGCGATGGGTCTTGTATACAATTTCCACATGAGGTCAGGATTTTAAAAGCCAAAGATTTCAAATACTTGCGTTATCCATTTAAAAATATTGACGCAACACACTCTTCTTCACGTAAATAATTCTTTAGGCTTGACTTACTGATCCCGTTAAATGCTGAAAATATTTCATGAAGCACTTGTTCAAAAAGATTTGTTTCTTCGACATTGGCATAACATCCATTTTCTGACAGTTGACCATCCCTTGATTAGCTTATCTGCTAAAGCGTGCAGAAATCTCATCCAATATTCGGTCACGCGTTGAGAAAAATCGAAATGAGGAATCAATTTAATTAATAGAATCTAGAATTTATCTATCAGCCGAAGGGGAAGACTGGTTTACACTGGCAAAATCCTGTTAGACGTTTCAGCCTCTGAAAGGACTTCTTCGCTTCGTCAGACTAATAATGCTTTTCATCAATAGAATCATATATATATATATATATATATATATATATATATTGTAAAAATAAAAATATTTATAAGAACACCGGATTATATATCTTACTGTTCTTTCTTTTTTTTATATATATATATATATATATATATATATATATATATACATGTATATGATTGGTGTATACGGAATAAATTCCAATAGCCAACAATTACTATTCATAAAAGAGTGCTCAATACATAGTAGAGCGAATATAATTATTTATTTAAAATTATAACGGAAATATGTTATAAAATCATTACAAAAATAGCCATTTTTGTTTCAACACCTCTG